CACTGTACCACCCAGCTGCCCTTTCTACTGTACTAAGTAATGTCTTTTAAAAAATTTAAATCTTTTGAAGCTTTATGTAAATTTTTGCTATTATTCCATAATCTATGAGAATCCTACAGAATTCCTTTTTTTCATTGGGTATTTTTGGTTCATCTTTCTTCATAGTAATAATTGTTTAGTGTCTTTTTGAGTCTAATCACTAGTTTATCTCTTTGGGTATGAGGTTTATACATCTATACTTTCTGTCTTGGGATTTTTTTAATGCTTTTTTTGGTTATTGTATTTCCTATAGCCTGTTTCTAGTATTCTTTCTCTTTGGTTACTCCCTTTTTGCTACTACATAGACCCCCTAGGCAGGGCATTGTGAACATCTTTGATTTGGAGGCATGGAGGACCAGCTGATTTCCTGCCCAGAGGAAACATGGCAGGCGTAAAATTTAACTCAACTAGATTTCTAGATTCTTTTCTCTTAAGCACAGAAGCCTCTCCCTTCTAACTCCTGTGTGTTTCTCAGTGGCTCCCATGGGGAGGCAGAATCAGGTTTTAAAAAAAAAAGAACAAACTTTGGTGTATGCATGGAGGATAGGTTTTAGACTGGGTCACTGATATGGAGGAAACAGGCAGGGCCCTCCACATCCAGACCCTTTTGAGTTTGCTTGTGGTGATTTTACTTAACCCATTGGAGTATGCTACAGATAGGGACATTTTATAGGGGTTTTAAGTATTTAAGTTCTCCAGTGTTATTTCTTGGTCAGTTTGTCAGTTTTTTAATATGTATTACACTTCTTAATATATAGTGGATTTGCTTTTAATTACTCTAGTTATAGCACAAATTTCATTTTCTGGAATTTTTTTAGGTTGAGAAGTATTTGGAAAACTCCTACACTGCCATCTTGCTTATCATGTTACTTCAATCATACCACCTTAAATAGAATATGCTAATATAATTTAAATGTTTCTTGATGACTCAGGGCCATCATTATGAGTATCAATATTATATTTACTATAAATATAGTAATGTCCTTCAAGCTAACTGAGGTAGGTAAAGCTATTTTTCCTTATAGTAAATAGCCTCAGACTGCTGTGCTGTTTGAGTTATTATTTCTACTTTGTATAGTTTCTCTTTACATTCTTCATTGTCAGGATGTCAACTTTTGCTTCTTACAGCTTTCAGTTGTTTGTAAGGAGGAGTAAGATGCTGAATTTGAACCTTAGGGATTCTCCATGAGTAAAACCTTAAAACATGACATAAATGTGAGCTGTTATTAGTCCTACCACTTCTGCTTCTATTCATGCTTCTACTCCTACCATCACTACCATTTTTCCCCATTCTCTTCTTAGCTCCTTGAAATTTGGCTTGTGGGGGCAGCTAGGTGGTATAGTGGATAGAGCACTGGCCCTGAAGTCAGGAGGAACTGAGTTCAAATCCGGCCTCAGACCAACATTTGACACTTACTAGCTGTGTGGCCCTGGGCAAGTCAACTTAACCCCAACTGTTAAAAAAAAAAAAGAGAAAGAAAGAAAGAAATTTGGCTTCTGATCTTATCCCTTGAAGGCGATTGTTTCCTCTAAATATATCAACAATCATTTAACCATTGAATCCAATGGATTATTCTTTTTATCTTGTGGAAGTTTTTGGCACTGGATTCTCCTGAATGTTCTCACCCTTGGTTTTCATGGCCGTGTTCTCTTGTGATTTTCCTCTGACCTTACTGACTACTTCTCCTCAGTCTTCCTTGCTGGATTGAACAGTCTTATCTGTTGCCTTATTTCTGTAAGTGTCCTTAAGGGTTTTTCCTCAGGCCCCCTTTCTTTCTGTATTCCCCATCTTAACAGAATTCCAGTCCCAGATGTTTTGTTAGCATCTTAAATTCACAATATTCAAAATTAAACTCATCTAATTCCATAAACTGTTCTCTCCTCCGTATTTCTCTTTTTCTGTTGAAAGTCTCTATACTTCCAATCACCCAACCCTAGAGTCATCTTTGACTTTTCCCTCCTAATCTTTACATTCATTTTCTAAATCTTATCACTTCTATCTCCGTAGTATCTCTCCTTTTTATCCTTTTTTCTCCTCTCACATAGCTACAACCCTTTTTATTTCTCATCTGGTCTGTTGCATAAGCCTAATTGGTCTGTGCCTTTCCATTCTATTATCCACATAGTTGCCAAAATAATTTTTCTAAAACACAGGTTTGACTATGTTACCTTTGTATTAAAAAAAAAATCAGGTGTTCTTTGTTGCTTCTGTAAAAAAAAATATACAAACTTCTCAACCTGGCATTTTATATTTTCTCTGCCTCCCTTTCCCAACTTATTCTACATCACTATGATTGACCCTATATTACAGCAAAACTTGATTACTGGGACAGGCCATGTTCCATTTCTGGAATGCACTGCCTGTTCACCTCTACCTCTGTGAATCCTTAAGTTCCTCCAGGTATTGGTTCAAGTGCTTCCTCCTTCTTATAAGCCTTTCCTGATTCCCTTATCTGTCAGTGTTCTTTTCTCCCTAGATTATCTTCTATTTACTAACCTTTTTTTTTTTTGTGATACAGTTGGGCTTAAGTGACTTACCTAGGGTCACACAGCTAGTAAGTGTCAAATGTCTGAGTCTGGATTTGAACTCAGGTCCTCCTGACTCCAAGGCTGGAGCTTTATCCACTGCACCACCTAACTGCCCCACTAACCTTTTTCACATGTTGCATCTTCTAGTAATATGTAAACTCCTTGAAGATAGAACTTGCTTCTTTTCATATTTTTATGTCTTTGTATACCAGCTAATGGCTAGCGTAATGCCTTGCATGTAGAAGGCTATTAATCGATGTTTGTTGGAAATTGCAAACGTGTATAGTTGAATCCCAAATACATGTATTATGGTAGATGATTATGTATTAGTCTCATTATTATTTCATCTCAGTTGTAGTAATTGTAAATTTCCTTCAAACCCATTTGTAACCTAATGTTCTCTGACTAACCTTTTTTGGACTTGCAGATATGGATCCACAAAGAGTTTGAGTAACTTGGCCTACGCCATAGAATAATTTTATTAAATATTATTTAATTTATTATTAATTACAAATAAATAGTTATACATTTATATGTATATTTATTAAGTCCTTTTAATTTCTATTAATTATAACTTAAAATAACAATGTAATGTGAATTCATTTTGTTAAGAGTAGTATCATACAAATTAAAGTTCATCTTTGAAATGAAGAAATCGTGGCATAGGGAAATGTGATTCATCCAAAGTCAAGGCTGTATTTAATACCAAAGGTATGGGATTTGGTGATGTATGGAATGCATTGAGAGGCAGTGTTGTGCAATGGTTAGAGTGGCAGCCTTGAAGCCAGGAAGATGAGGGTTTAAGTCTCACCCCTGAATATACTGGCTATGTAATTCTGGGCAAATCCCTTAACTTCTCAGTGCTCTCTAAAACTGTAAGTGGCAGAGAAGGTAGCTGGAAGAATAAGTAAATATTATATGTCTAATAGTTCATGTCCTCACTTAAGGAAATTAGGTTGGAAGTTTCTGACCCTTTCAGTATGCCATGAATAATTTCATCTTCTTACAGCAATGAGACTGCAGGTGTAGTCAGTCTTAGCAATAATAAAAAACTTGTAGTCTTTAAAAAATAATAGTGGACATTTGATCTCTATAACTTAACATTGCAAAATACTTCCTTGAAGTCCTTGCAAGGAGTTGGTTGAAACAGAACTTTTCCATCCACATTAGAGTCTATAAAAAAAAATCATAGTAACTATGACTTCTCAGGACTTACATTTTCCTTTTGTTATTTTCTTCTCACACTAATTAGGTTTTGCTCACATGCAGAGCAGACCAATCTGAGAGATACAAAAATGGCACCGTACTTTGGCATGTTCCTAGTAAGAATAAAAACAGTATTTACAACTATAAGACCTAGGGAAATCTGTACATTTGATTGAAATAAGCATTTGATTGAAGAGGAGTCATTTGCTGAAGGCGTGACTAAAAATTAAGAGACTTTTACTATTTTTCTCTGTTTTATTGCTGACTTGCTGAGCAGGCCTCCATGCCACTGTATACCTCTGTTTCTCCCAAAAGTAATATAGGAATAATAACATCTGCTCATGACATAACTTTACAAAGTAGTGAAGATTAATGAGAAGATGGTGACTGGAGCTTATGGGTCAGTAATTCTGAGTGTGATCTTTCCTTAGAGAATTAGTTTTGTGAAAAGGACTCTATAAACTGTAGAGTGCCATGTAAATCTGAGCTATTATTTTTAGACTACTCTGAGCATCTTGTGCTAAGTTTATATTCTTGGGAGTTTAACCAACCGAAAAGAGTAGCGAGATCCGATTGGTTTTCTTTCTATACAATAAAAATATTTTATGATTACAAAGTTCCTTTATATGTGTTATCTCATTTAAGAAATGAACTGCAAGACAGGATTCCACAGAAAACTAAAATTTGCCATCATTATTAGAAAAAGGTACTGTATGAAATGTTGCTTCAAGAGACCATGCAGTTCATCCTTTTGAGAGACACATGAACTGTTTTGGATTGCTATGTCTTTTCTTTTTAAAAAGATCTTCCAGAGAAGAAAATTCCATAGTTATTTCTTCACAGCTGAATTAGCGTTTCATGGCTTCTTTCTTTTTTTCATGGTTTCTTAATTATCAGCTCTTCAAAGAGAAGCATGTGGGTGTAATATTGTCAGCAAATTGGATCTGGATTGGAGAAGATGGTCTCTCAGATCCCTTCCAACTCCAAAATTCTGTGATTCTATGACTGAGCTATTTAAATGAGTTAGTTGCATGATTAATATTATTTTGGTATAGCTAAACCGTTGTTGGGATATTAGCTTATTACTGAAGCTATACATTGTATTTTTGAAGATTATCTATCTATCTATCTATCTATCTATCTATCTATCTATCTATCTCACATATACATATACACACACATATATGTATATCATGTATACAAATATATTTTCTTTTTTTCCCCAGCTTTCAAAGCTTGAAAAACAGCAGCAGAGAAAAGAAAAAACCAGAGCAAAAGGACCTTCTGAGTCAAGTAAAGAAAGAAATGTTTCTCGCAAGGATGACCCCAGTGCTAGCAGTGGGGCAGAGGGTGATGTATCTTCTGAAAGAGAGCCATGATCAAGAAAATACTGATTTCAGGTATATATCTCCAATTTCTTACATTCCATAGGCATAATAATAAAGATTAGAGGCCTAAAAGACCTTTCATTTTTCTTACTTACCAAATAGTAAGAAAAATGTTTTATTGGTCTGACTTACAGCTTACTTAAATCTGTTTATTTTAGAGTGGAAAGGAAAGTGAAGAAACTGTCTCATACTTGCTTTTTTAGTCACTGTTCAGGGGGCTTCACTATGCCCATGGAGAGCCTAGAGCTAGACATACAAATACTTGCTTTAAATTAGATATTTCACCAAGTTGTCTGCTCTATCTACAAATGTTTACATCATTCCCCTGCTTAGAAACCTTCTGTGATGCCTGTGGCCTCTAGGATGAATTTAGGGCCCTCTTGAACCCACTTTTCTAATCTTATGTCATACTACATCCTTTTATATATTATCCATTCCAGGAAAGCTGAACTGTTTGTTGCTTCTTGGTCTCATCTCTCACTTTTTGTGCTCATGCAGACCAATTGTTGTGCTTGGGAGGCATTCTTTCTCCATCTCTACCTGCTGGAATACTTTTCTTTTGCTAGAACCCAACTTAGGCACCACTTTTGCCATGAAGCTTTGCTTTATCTCCTTAGCCAAATATAATTTAATCTCTGTCCTCAAAAAGTTTTGGAGAACTTTGGATTCTTTCTTGGCCCTTGGAGTAAAAGTTTGAAGGTGGAAGAGACCTCAGAAATAATTTACTCCAAGTCCCCTTCCCCCCATTTTTTTAACTGATGAGGAAATAGAGGTTTTACAGATAGTAAGTGAGCCACAATTCAAATTCAGGACCTTTATTTCCAAATCCAGGACTTCTTTCACTGTACCATGTGCCACAGGAGAACTGGGTTCAAATACTGCCTTAGATAGTTATTATCTATATAATCTTGCTTTAGGCCACTGGAACTATAGTTTCCTTCTCTGTCAAATGAAAGGTTAAAGTAAATGATGTCTAAAGTCCCTCAGCTGTAAGTTCAATTGTACCTTTCAATTCTGCCTATTTGTGCACATAGTTTATCCCCTATATGAAATTATCAGCTCCTTCAGGGTTAAGTGAATAGTATACTTTCTTAACTTTGTACCTTCAATTCCTGTGCTTTCCTCGTAGTGAGTGCTTAATAAATATCTGATGACTTGAATTGAATTTTTGAAGTGAGGAAGAACATGTTTTGTTCCCTTCATTATCTTTTAAACTCCATTCCCATTAGTCTGGTCTAGGCTTCTAGATCCTCAGGTCTGCATTACTGCAATTGCCTCATTATTTGTCTCTCTACTTCTAGTTTCTTACAACTCCAGTCTGCCATATCCTTCCCAAGATAATCTTAAAATATAATTTTTGTCCTGTTACTTCATTAAAGAATTGTTGGTAGCTCCTGTTTTGTACTACATCCAGTTCAAATTCCCATGCTTATTTTTCAAGGGCAGCAAGGTGGTGTAGTGAGCAGAATGTCATGCCTGGAGTCAGGAAGTCCTGAGTTCAAATCCTGCTTCAGATTCTTACTATTTTAAAACTGACCCTTGGCAAGTCACTTAACCTCTGTTTGCTTCAGTTTCCTATGAGTAGAATTGGGCTAGTAGTAGTACCTACCTCCCAGGGTTGTCGTGAACATCAACTGAGATAATAGTTGTGAAGAGGACTGTGTAAGCGTTAGCTCGCTGTAGTTATAATAACTTGAAAGGCTAGATGACCACCTTTCCTCATAAAAATGTTACTCTGAAATGTTACTTTGCTTTATAGGGTATACCTGATAGATATGTAAAGAGAAAGTAAAGCCTAAATTCAGATATTTTGAATCTCGTAGAAAGCATTTGCATAGTTGAGACTTTTTAGTTTTGAATACCATGTAGAAAGCAATTATTGGTATAACTTTCAAAATCAAGTCAGCTAAAAAGAAAAAAAAGACAACTAGTAAGTGTGTCAGGGGCATTAATGTACAGTTTGCCACAGAAAACAATGTTTACTTTTGGAACTGAGAAAGGTGCTAGTAGAGGGGCTTTTTGTGTGTTCAGAGGAAAACAGTGATAGTACTTTTAAATTCTCCTGCTTGTTCAGTTTAAGAAATTAGAGAGCTGTGCATATTTCTAGTCACCCAGGTTCACATCTTTAGTGTTATCCTTGACATCTAAGAAAGTCCCTAATACAGAGAGGTGTTTAATAACTGTTTGTTGATTGATTGACATTTTAGGACTGAGGGTAAGCTGTGGTTACCTTGATTATGGTGAAGCTTTTCCTCTTTTTAGAGTTGTTGGTAATCTTGCTTTACCATAAGCAGTGATGAAAAAATCATCGGTGCCTAAAGTCTTCACTTTCTTGCCTAAGTCTTTATAATCTTAGGAGTGCTGTCTAGATATCCTCTGACATGAATCACCTGAAGTGTATAGTAGTTGTCTGACACAATGAATCTTAGGAGTTTCTCTTATTTTTGATAGATCAAGAAATAATTGCCACAGAATCTCTTAGGGACAGCTAAATGGCAAAGTGGATAGAGTGCTGGGCCTGGAGTCAGGAAGACTCATCTTCCCGGGTTCAAAAATGACCTCAGACACTAGCCGTGTCACCCTGGGCCAGTCACCTAAACTTTTTTGCCTCAATTTCCTCATCTGTGAAATGAGCTGGAGAAGGAAATGGTAAACCACTCCGGTGTCTCTGCCCAGAAGACTCTAAATGGAGCTGCAAAGGGTCGGACGTGACTGAAAAATGACTGAACAACATCCCTCACCAATCATTATTAATATAGTCACTTCTTCCTCTTACCCTTCCTTATTAAATATTTGTTGTTTTTTGTTATTAGTACTGATGGAAAGAGGAAGATCAAAGAAGAGTTAGGACTGCTGTCAGAGGCAACAGTTACAACAGTGATAATGGTAACTCACATTTATATAGAGCTTTAAGATTTGCAAAATGCAAATTTTATTGTCAGAAAAACTCTGTGAGGTACTATTTTATTCCCATTTTACACATGGTGAAACTAAAGCTAAGAGAAGTTAGTTGACAACAGAAAAGAGGCAAAGTTCATGAATTTTTATTTTGCTTCGGTTTTCTTTGCCTAGGAGAGTAACTGTCAGCTGGAAAGGGACAGAACAAAATGGCTACTTAGGGAGTCGATACCCAAGATAAGTTCAGAGATAGAAAGAAAACACCTAGTTGCCAGTGTTGAATTCAAGTCATGGTGCTTAGATGAACTGCATAGTCAAGTACTTAAAGAAGTGATGTTCTGATGTGATTGATGAGCCAAACATCAGTGATAGTTGAAGGATCATGGGGAATGGTACAGGTGTCATAAGACTGGAGAAGGGAAGATGTTCTGATTGTCAAAAAAGGAGAAGGATAGAGTCTGCAAACTGTAGGCCAGTGAGCTTGATTTGATTCCTTGGAAAATTCTAGATTGGATCAAAAAGATGTTTAGTAAGCATCTAGAAAAGGTAGTGGTGATTACAAAGGACCAACATAGCTTCATGAAAAATGGTCACACTTTCTCTTGACTGAATATTACTAGGAGAAATTCACTAGGATTTAATGTAAAGTCTTACACTTGTGAAGTTGTTATATTTTATTTTTTTAACAGGGTATTTTAACTACAAGCTCAGGGGAATGCTGGAGATATAGCTTACCCAGATTTTAGGGAAAGCTTTTTGTTAAGTATCTTAAGCTGTTCTTTTGGAAAAAATGAAAGAGTTGTGGGCCAAACAATAGTAAACCTGTTTGTATTTCGTAGAGACTAGATAGTTGGACTCAAAGAGTATATAATTTGATAAGAAGGCTACTTCTTGCTTATAGCAGAACAGTAGAAGTTTATTAAAGCAATACATAAGACACAGACAAATATGTTGCAAGAGGATACTCCTTTTAGAAAGTAGTCCCCCTTTTCAGGTCTTGAAGGCTGAAGTATGTCCTTGGGAAACCATGGCTGTTTTCCATTAGCTTTGGGTTTTCTGGTGTTCGAATCTGTATTTCCACAAGTAGGACTGTCTGTTTGAATAGTTGAAAACAAAGACAAGGTTGGAAAGATTTTTAAAGTATAAGGACAATAGAGGAGTATGTGTCTCTTCACTTTGTATTAACTGGAGGACATTTTCCAAGATGGACTTAACCATGTCAGAAAGAAGGAAAATATATCAGCCCTTCTGTCTTTGCCTCTGTAACATCAACCTGGAATTAGGTCTGTAGTGAAGTACCCTAGGGATCCCTACTTAGTTCTGTGTTATTTAACATTTTAATCAATGACTTGTATAAAAGCATAGGTGGCATGCTTATTTAATTTGCATATGACACAAATCATGGAGGGAGAGCTAACTCACTGGATGACAACCACTATCCTTAAAGATCTTTTTTTTTTTTTAAGGCAGTTGGGGTTAAGTGACTTGCCCAGGGTCACACAGCTAGTAAGTGTCAAATGTTTGGTCTGAGGCCGGATTTGAACTCAGGTCCTTCTGACTTTGGGGCCGGTGCTCTATCCACTGCGCCACCTAGCTGCCCCCTATCCTTAAAGATCTTTAAAGGCTAGAGTAATGACTGATTCTTAGGGTCCCATAGGAGCAGGTCCTCTTATTTCATTAATACAAGGTACTCCCAGGTAAGACAACTCTCTGTATCAATTCAGGTCAGCACCTTTTATGCAATTTACAGGCTTGAAGAGTTGGCTAGAGTAGAAGTGTCAAATTAAGAGCTTGTCATGGGAACAAGATTAAATGTAATTGGAGGTGTTTAGCAAGATAATACAGTATGACATAGATAATGTTGATTTATGGTTTTTGAAGTCAACATGTGCCTATAGGGATCCATTTCTATTTGAGTTTGATACCACTGGGCTAGAGCACTGAGAGGTTAATTACATGATTTATCCAGGGTCACATAGCTAGTATCTGGCAGAACCTGAACCCATTATCTAGGATTCCTCATTTTTCTGGCTCCAAGGCCAGCTTTCTATCCACTATGTCATTCTTTCTCTTAACTGAATCTTACTAGGAGAAATTCACTAGTCTTACACTTG